TGTGTCCTCGAGCAAGTGACTTCACCTCTCTGAGCATCAGTTTTCTTATATATAAAATGAGGCTCTCAATAGTACCTCCCCAGTGTAAAAATTAATCCCAGGGATCAAACAGTGTCCTCTGTGCCCTCTCTAGGCCCTGTTGCTTTGGCTAGTTTCATTTCCAAGCTCTGCTTGCAGGCACATGTCCCAGCAGCTCCAGGCCTGGTGCCTCAGTGAAGGAGGCTCGGGCGAAGCGGGGTGTGGGGCAACCGCAGCCGCCTCTGCTACTGTTCCGAGCTTGCATCTCACTGGCTAACGTGATCCCATTATTCTCCCTGAGCTAGTCATGTTCTGATTGACCAGGACGAGTCACACACCCACTTCTAGAGATGGAGGTGGATTCTGCTCCGTTGTATTTTGGGGACTGGGAATGTGGGCAGGTTAGCTCCACTGAAGAAAAATCAAGAAGGGTGAATTATGTCACGGGAGGGCAGTGATTCCTCCCACCAATGCTCCGTCTAGGCAGAAGCTGTCTCGTTCACTAGAAAAGTGTCTCACCTATAACGTGAGCTCAGTAAATAATGGTTGAATGAATGAATAGGGAGGGAAGAGGCGGATTCCTGGCAGTCTAGTGTAGTGAAGAGAACACTGGCCTGGGGGTCAGGAGACCACAATAGCTCACAATCTTGGGTGGGTCCTGATACCCCTTTGAGCCTTAGTCTGCTAATCTGGGAAATGGGCATGATGGCTAACACCTGCCTTAATGGCTTATGGGTAGATTAAATTTTGGTACTTTTGGTACCTGACAGCTGCCAAGCATGTTGTTCCTACGTGGTCTTCCTTTATCTTTAGCAATGGTAGATGGAGCAGGGAACCCTGGGGTACTCGCCAAGAGGGGCTGGTTGGGAAGAGATTTTGGAATTTAGGCTCTTTGAGCAAGACAGGCTTGCATTTGGATCTGCTTTTACCCCTTACTTGCTGTGTGACCTGAGGCAAATCACCGTGCCTCTCGAAATCTCAGTTTTCTCATCTGTAATTTGGGACTACTAATACTTGTCTCCAAGGGTTGGATGGAGGATGAAGTGAGAAATTCCATTTAAGGCCTGTCCTGGCACACGGTGAGTGCTCAGGCAATGTTAGCTGTGTTTATCATCAGCTATTATTATTCCGTCCTCTGACATCGGGGTGAACAGATTGCTGCCTCAACCAGGCTTTTAAAGAATTTAATTTTGGCCAAGTCACTTTAGGTGCCATGACTGTTGCCAACTAATCCCTTTCTGGCAGGCTCTGGTCTCTGTAATCTGAGCGAGGTGCTGGGCAGCGGGTGTCCCTCCGTACTGACACTGGCGCCCAGCTGGAGGCCCAGCCCCGTGGTCAATGCTGCCTTTCAGGGTGATGGGCAAGGCAAGTTTTGTGCACTCATGGAAACAGTCCCTGCCTGGGCCTCCCCCACTTTGGGGAGAAAATACTCTTTTCAGGAAACCCAGGAAGAGATGACATGCAGCCTCCTTTTCCCACCTCTCAGGAGTGAAAGGTGAATGATTGCGGGATGGGGGGGGGGGGCGGCGGCTTATGCCCACTCAGCTCTCCCCCATGCTGCTCTGGCTGGGGGTCAGGAGAGCATGGTCAAGGTGGTTGCTGTGCTCACCCGGCCGTAGCTCTGGCCATCCCCCTGAACTCTCCTTTTGCAGGCCTCACCTCCTCTTCTGGGTTTGGAGAGAAGGAGCGTAAGTGTTGTGCAATGTGTAAGGGTACTTTGATGGTCCTCTCATGGGACACTTGAAAATCAGCATTACCAGAAATGAAAGGGCGGGTACACAATCAGGTGAGAGGGAGAGAGAGAGAGCACGAGAGCACAAGCACCCAATGGCTGAATTCATGAATTTCTCAGGTGTTCTCAACAAGCTATCAAGTTTAGGAGGAGTTTAAGGGAGAGACCCCCCCACTCAGGTAGGGTGAGTGAGCCGGTGAGTTCCAGCACCAGGACTGACCTTGGGGAATGACCCCACATGAAATTCCCTCCCCCGCACCGGGCTCCTGGGCCACATGTGGAAGGGACCATGCGGAGGAAGGGTGAGCCTGCCAAAGAGTGCAGACTTGGGAGCCTGGGTCCAGACCAGCCCTGTCTCCCGTGTTGCAGGGGACTCTACTTCAGTCTCCTCATCTGTGCATGAGATAGTCATAGCACCAACATCGTAGGGTGGTTGAGGAGATAAGTGAGTTAGCACATGTTGAAGTGTAGTCCAGTGACCTTGATCAGTGGGAGACCATCGTTGTCACTGTGTGGGGGCCTGGGAACTTTGCAGCTGAGTTAACAGAAATAGTTACCTAAACAGAATAAATTTACAAATGAATATAAAAATTGCCTACTGGCATCACTCCCTTCTGGAAGGTTCCCTGGCAAGGGTCGACACCCCCTCTTGGTTCCCCTCCCCCCATAACATGCAGTCTGGTCACTGGCGGTAGAGGACCTTGAGGCCAGGGGCAGCGTTGCTGTGTCTCTGCGTGACCGACTGAGTCACCCAGGTGCCCCTGCTCAGTGTCTGCATGGGGGGTGCCCTGTGCAGGGCTGGCCTGGGAGTGCTCGTAGGTGTCTGTCGTCATCCGGTCTTAGAGGCTTCTGAGTTCTGGGGATGATAGGGAGACTGTTTGGTAGTGGAAAGTGCACAGAGTCTTGGAAGTGAGATTCAAATTCTGGTGCCACTACCCTAGGCCCAGCCATGTCCCCCCTCTAAGCCTGTAGAATGGGGACACTGAGCTGCTGGGTGCTGTCGTGTCATGTGAGGCGATACGAATGCCCATTGTCCTTCCTGGGGTGCTAGGCGTGTGGGAGCAGCTGGGCCATCACCGTTTGCAGTGGGTCGGGTTGCAGAGCTGTTCTCTGAGGTGAATGGCGTGTGACGCTGTCCTCAGGAAGGCACCACAGTGGAGACCGACTGGGCTGCTCGTGGGCTCCAGGGCAGCTCGTTCCCCCCATGCTTTCCCACAGATCGCGATTCAGAGGCTCCAGACCCCAGTGGCTTGCTTTTCGGGCTCGTGTTGTAGGCAAGTGTGCTCCCTTGTGCACACAGTGAGGGAGTGCTCCCCACGGCAGCCCTGTGACTCACGGGCCGCCTGAGGGCGTGTGGGTTCTGCTCCCTTCTGGACGCCGGCTCCTCGTGCCTGCAGTCGCTTGTACCACTTACGTGGTCATTTCTCTCTTGCTCTCACTTCTTAAAATTGTGGTGAAATATGCATAACATAGAACTGACCATTTTTCGGGCGCCTGGGTGGCTCAGTTGGTTAAGCAACTGCCTTCGGCTCAGGTCATGATCCCGGAGTCCCGGGATCGAGTCCCGCATCGGGCTCCCTGCTTGGCGGGGGGTCTGCTTCTCCCTCTGACCCTCTCCTCTCTCATGCTGTTTCTCTCTCGCTCGCTCTCAAATAAATAAATAAAATCTAAAAAAAAAAATAGAGAACTGACCATTTTTCGCCATTTCTAAGTGTACAATTTAGCAGCCTTAAGTACATTCACAATGTCCAGCCTTCCCCACTATCCGTGTCCAGAACTTTTTCATTCTCCCAAACAGAAACTCTGTCCCCATTAAACACTATCTGTCCATCCCCTCTAGTGGCTTCTGTTAGACCTTCTGTCTCTGAATTTCACTCCTGTAGGGATCTCACATAAGTGGGGGCATATGATATTTGTTCTTTTGTGACTGGCTTTTTTTCACTTAGCAAAGGGTCATCCATATTGTAGCAGGTGTCAGAATTTCCTCCCCCCCCCCTTTTTTTTTAAAGATTTTATTTTATTAGAAAGAGAGGGAGAAGCAGCTCGTCACGGGGTTCAATCCCAGGACCCTGGGATCATGACCTGAGCTGAAGGCAGACGCTTAACCGACTGAGCCACCCAGGCGCCCCTGCATTTCCTTCCTTTTTAAGGCTGAATAATATTCCATTGAACACGTGTACTCCTTTTCGTTTCTCCGTCCACCTGCAGATGGACATTTGGCTTGTTTGCACCTTTTGGCTTTTGTGGATAGTGCTGCTGTGAACGTGGGTGGACAGATACCTGCTAAGATCCCTGTGTTCAGTTCTTTTGCATTTATCCCCCATAGTGAAACTGCTGGGCTGTGGGAATTCTATGTTTAACCTTTTAAGGAACCCCCAAACTCTTGTCCCTGGTGAGTACACCATTCTACCTTCCCACCAGCCATGCACAAAGGTTCCAGTTTTTCCACATTCTCACCAACGCTTATTTTTCATTTTTATTTATTTTTTATTTTTCAAAAGATTTTATATATTTATTAGAGAGAGAGCGAGCACGAGAGAGTACAAGTGGGGAGTGGCAGGGAGAGGGAGAAGCAGGGCGCCTGATGTGGGGCTCAATCCCAGGACCCTGACCGAGATCACAACCCGAGTCCAAGTCAGTGCCCAACCGACTGAGCCACCCAGGTGCCCCCAGTTTTCCATTTTTTATATAAAAAGTGTCATACCGGGGTGCCTGGGTGGCTCAGTCAGTTAAGCCTCTGCCTTCGGCTCAGGTCCTGATTCCAGGGTCCTGGGATCGAGTCCCATGATGGGCTCCCTGCTCAGTGGGGAGCCTGCTTCTACTTCTCCTGCCCCCCCTGCTTGTGCTCTCTCTCTGTCAAAAAATAAAATCTTTAAAAACAAAGAGTGTCGTACCACTTTATTGTTCAGTGACTTGGATCTCTTACTGAACAACAGTCTTTCCATGTTGGTATTTGTAGAGCTAAGCCATTCTTGTGTTTTTCCTTATCTCATAGTATGGGTGTGCTGTACTTTAAAAAATACGGTTATTATGAAATGCCAAACGTTGTTTCTCATGCGTGCCCCCTGCACTGACATCCTGAGCAGCACTGGCCATTGTTAAGAACAGCGATCTCCTGGTCCGGCCTCTCTGTCCCATGAGGACCCCCGGGCTCTGCCAGCCCACTCCTGTGGGCCTCTCCTAGCTGGCTTCCTGGGCTCCGTTTCCTGCCAGGCAGTCCTTGTTGACCTTCTTTGTCTCCACTTTGCAGGCCAAGAACAAGGAGACAGGTGCTTTGGCTGCCGCCAAGGTAATTGAGACCAAGAGTGAGGAGGAGCTTGAGGACTACACAGTGGAGATCGACATCCTGGCCACCTGTGACCACCCCTACATCGTGAAGCTCCTGGGAGCCTACTACTATGACGGGAAGCTGTGGGTAAGGGCCGCCTACTGCCCTCTCTGGGTCCTTGTGGCCTGGTAGGCTGAGCTAGCCTGGTTCAGAGGTCCTCAGCTCTTTCTCAGTGTCTGCTTTGAGGGCAAGGGCTGGGGTGAGAAGAAAGTGAAGCAGGGGGGGTCGAGGTCCCCCATCCTTCCCTTTCTGCAGAGCCTCCCCGCTTTTGGGGGTGGGGACACTGGTTTAGAGCAGGAAGGAAGTATACAGTTCTACTGCCAGGCCTCAGATCCCAGCTCTGCCACTCACAAGTTGCAGAACCCTGGGCAAGTTCTTAAGCTCTCTGCCTCAGTTTTTCCAGCTGTAAGATGGGAGTAATAATGGTGCCTAGCTCATATGGTTATTACAGGGATTAAAGAAATTAATTCATGATCAGTGTTTAGAAGTGTACCTGGCAGGTGTGAGAGTTCAGTGACTGTGGCTCTTTTATTATTTGTAATAGTGGCATCATTATTGGCCGTAGCTTCTGCATAGGGATTCTTTTCAATGGTGGCGCTAAAGAAGGGGCCCCTTAGCAGCCCCATTCTCCGTCAGCAGCCTTAGCGTGATGTGCACATTGCAGATGCATCTTCAAACCCACCTTCCAAACCCAGCATCACCCCCAGCTTCTCTAGAGTAATTCCGCAGCACCCCCGGTTTGCACAGGGCGCGTCCACCCTGCACAATGCTTGTCCAGTGGACGCTCGTCTAGTATGAATGCCTCTCAGTTTATAAAACCCAGACTTCCTAGAACATCTGTGTCTCTTCAGACTATTTTTCGGCAAGTGTTTTATATGTCAAGCAACATTTTTATGTCCCCAAAACTCAGTACAACATTTGTCACAAAATCACGTGCAGGACAAGTGTCACGTGAATTATAGATGCAGTTGGGAGACTGTCAGAACCACGTGTAGATGTTTTGCAGAGGGAGCCGAGGGCCGGCAGTCCTGGGCGTCCCTGGTGGTGCTGGAGCTGGGAGAGCCGGCCCAGGTCCATGTTGCTTGCCACACAGCAAGGTTAAGCATGATTTGGTGGTCAGCAGGGGGGGTGTTGTAACATTTGACCCCTTATCATGGTAGTTTATTATGTGTAGAGAGAGTATTACTATGCTTTAGTTACATTTTAGGAAATTAATGGGAAGTTAGGAGTTGATAAGTAGTGCTTTATGATTTTTCCCATTTAAAATAAGGGGAGGGCGCCTGGGTGGCTCAGATGGTTAAGCCTCTGCCTTCGGCTCAGGTTATGATCCCAGAGTCTGGGGACTGAGCCCCACATCAGCTCCCTGCTCAGCGGAGAGCCTGCTTCTCCCTCTCCCGCTCCCCCTGCTCATGCTCTCTTTCTCTCTGTATCTCTCTGTCTCAAATGAATTTAAAAAAAATATCTTTAAAATAAGGGGAAATAGGTTCCAGGTTGGCTTTATTTTTTACTTTTGCACAGGATGCCTGATTTCTAGGAGCAGACTATTGATGCTTGATGGGGAAATCTGTGTTTCGTTTGTGAAAAGAATCCTGCTATTTAAGAAAACCAAAGGAGAGTTGAGAAACCACCGTCAGAGTTGATCCTCTCATTTCCCAGAGGTGAAGGAAGCCGGTGTCTGAGGGGAGCAGGCATGTGGGCCCCCCCAGCCCCGCCCAGAGCTCTGTCTGCTGACCCTGCCTCCCCTTCCAGTCCTGCACAGAAGCCAACTCTCCTTTGCCTCTCTGAGAATCTCCTTGGGGAGACTCCTGAATGTCACTGAGGGGATAAAACCACCCCCTGACTGCCAGCTGCAGATTCTAAAACCCTTCCTCATCTACTGTCTCCAGGTGCTTCAGGAGGTGGTGAGCAGGACGGGGACCCAGGCACAGAAAGGGCACGCCCTCTTGCTCATGGTCACACACCTGCACCTACGTGTTTCCTCTGTCCTGATTCATGGAGCTGCTTTTTATTTTTTATTTATTTATTTATTTTTTAAAAGATTTTATTTATTTGACAGAGACACAGCGAGAGAGGGAACACAAGCAGGGGGAGTGGGAGAGGGAGAAGCAGGCTTCCCACCGAGCAGGGAGCCTGATGCAGGACTCGATCCCAGGACCCTGGGATCACGACCTGAGCCGAAGGCAGATGCTTAACGACTGAGCCACCCAGGCGCCCCTGGAGCTGCTTTTTAAAAAGCTCTCTCTTTTTAGAAATTAAACACATATTATTTATATAGTTAACAGAGAAAAATGAGAGTGTAAGGAAAAACAAAAGAAAAAGAGATTAAAACCATTCAAATATTTGTACCAGAGATAACCACATTTAGGATATATTTTTCTAGGCTTTTTTAAAAAAAAAATATATACACATATATACCCATACCCACAGGTTTTTTAAAAAGAAGAATTGATGCCATACTTATTACTTTATTTTTTACTCTCTTTATTTAAAATCTATTTTTTTTTAAATAATCTCTACACCCAACGTGGGGCTTGAACTCACCATCCTGACATCAAGAGTGGCATGCTCTGCCAACTGAGCCAGCCAGATCCCCCATTTACTTAATTCTGTTAAGAACCACTTTTCATGGGGCGCCTGGGTGGCTCAGTCATTGGGCGTCTGCCTTCGGCTCAGGTCATGATACCCAGGGTCCTGGGATAGACCCCATGTTGGGCTCACTGCTCGGCAGGAAGCCTGTTTCTCCCTCTCCCACTCCCCCTATTGTGTTCCCTCTCTCTGTGTGCCAAATAAATAAATAAAAATCTTTTAAAAAAAACAAACCACTTTTCATGTCAGTGGGGAAGTACCTTCATATTTGATTATTCAGTAGAATTCCATCTTCTGACTGTGCCATTCTCTATTGTTAGGCATTTACACTGCTTCCTTTTTTTTCTCTTAGAAACAAAGGTGTGATGGACCTCTTTGAATGTATGCTTGCCTGTGAACCTCTTTAGGAAAATTTTTAAGCATCTGAAGTGTCTTTTGCTAAACCAGCCTCACAGAGCCACTTTTCATATTATACAAAGGAGTTTTCCCACCTACCTGCCCACCCACGACACCTACCCAACATTCATCTGCTTATCTGTCCATCCATACAACCTTTATTGGACTGCTGATTATGTACTCATTAAGAAAAACATCTTTTATATGTCTGTCCCCATTATTGATTGTGACCAGGTAGAAAGTTCATGACTTTCCCAGGTCCAAAGATAATACCAGCCACAGCTAACATTTACTGAGGGCTTACTGTGTTCGAGGCCTTTTAGCTGTGAGTTTTACTGGGATTATGTCATTTACTTTTCATTCTATGAGGTAGTTGCTTTTTCCCCATTTTACAGATGAAAATAAGAAACAAAGAGGTTAAGTAAGTTCCCACCCAAGGCCACGTAGCTAGAAAGTGGCAGAGTTGGAAAACCAGATAGAGAAGAACAGTTTGTAACTGGGCTGTGACTGTCATAAGGTTGTTTAAATAGATACATGAGAGTGTTCTGACCCAGAGTTGCCTTTAGGCTGGTACTTTATTACCCAGGGCTGCTGCTGTGGCCAAAACCATTTCTCACCCTCCTCTTCTGTAGCTGCCCCTACAGCCTGCATTTGTTGTTTTATAGACTCTTAAACGTGCCATGTCCTCATTTTTGAGGATTTGAGTTTTAGACATTGTGAAATCAAGGCAGAAGTTGCTGGAACTAGGTGGGTGATGGGCAAAGGGTCTCCCGCAGAAGGGGCAGTGGTGCAGAAGCATGAAAGTTGTGGCATTTGGATAATGGGTGGTCTAGGATCAGGGCAGCACGTGGAAAGAGGAGGGCAGTAAGTAACTGGAGGCCATGTTGTGTGCAGGGCTTCCAATGCCAAGGTGAAGAGTTTGCACTTAACATTTTATTATTTTTAAAAAAAATTAGAGCATGAGCAGGGGAGGAGGCAGAGGCAGAGGGAGAGGGAGAAGCAGACTCGCCTGCTGAGCTGGGAGCCTGCTGAGCTGGGAGCCCGATGCTCCCTGAGATGATGACCTGAACAGACACTTAACCGACTGAGCCACCCCGGCATTCCCTGCACTTAACTTTTTAGATCAGCGGTTCTCAGAGTACCGCCCTCAGACCAGCAGCTGCAGCCCCTGGGACCTTGTGAGAAATGCTATCAGGTCCCAGCCCAGACAGACCTGCTCAATCAGAAACTCTGGGTGGGGCCCAGCAGTCTGTTGTAAGGAGCCTTCTAGGTGTCTCTGATGCTTGTTTAGCTTTGAGAACTGTTTAACGTAAGGGGGACTCAGTGGCAGTTTTCCACAGGGGAGAGACATTTTGTGTTTTAGAAAGAAATCAGGGTTTGAGGGGGCAAGAGTGAAAGCTTCGAGGTCAACCAGAAAGCAGTAAGAAAAGGCTGTGGGGTGGGGACATTATTGGGTCAGCAAGGGCTGCCAGAGGGACATTTGAGCTGTATCTTAAAGGATGCATGGGAGTTCTCCAGAGGGATGGGAGAAGGAAGACCAGTTGGAAGAGAGAGAGACAGCATGCACAAAAGTATGGGAGAGAGAAGTCTTGTTCTGAGATACAGGGTTGGAAGGCGCACGGACTTTTTGGTGTCTCCTGCTGCGTGATGGGTCTCGGACCCAGGCCTCCCGTGTGGCTCCAGGGGCCATCTTTCCATGGTCGTGTCTTTGACAAAACCCATACTGGACCTGGGGTCTGCTCTCAGGGCTTGGGCTTTGGGATGAGAAACTGGCTCCTGTGCAACTGCTCTGGACCCTTTCCCCAGCCGTGGCATCCAGGGACAGACCTTCCCCTTGATTGGGGCGGTGGACATTCACCAAACCACCCCACCTACAATCTGACAAGATGAGCTCATTTTCTTCCAGATTTTGTAATCTTAGCAAAAGTCTTTCGTAGTTTCTTAGGCCCACTTCTGCTTTTAAATATCAAATGGAGCAAGTGGGGGAAAAACAACCCAGAATATTCTAGACCAACACTGTCCAGTAGAAATGTAATGTAAGCCACATATGTGATTTAAAATTTTCTAATAGCTGTATTTAAAAAAAAAAACAGGTGACGTTAATT